CCTCAGTCCACATTGGCTCAAAACCAGATTCCATGATATGTGAATTTGACCGCTAAGATTTAAAAAAACAAAAGCTTGGGTCATTTTTATCCCTTGATGTTAGAATTCATTGTTGGGACATTGGTTTCTAAACTGAAGGCCAAGGCTTGTTGCAGTCCGGACAACAATCCATCGGTTAGTTTGCTGAAACTGGACTTGAGTGGCGACCTTTCCATGTCAGGACATTGCTTTGTTATAATGAGGTGCAGCAAAGATCTGTCCAAAATGAAGTCCATGTTGTGATGCAGCATTGACACAGGGTACAGGGATCAATCAACAAGACTCGGGTCTTCACATTGGAGATGGTTGACTTAAAGGTACCCGTGAAGGAGACAGTAGTCCGTTGACCGGTTCCCTGCTGCTCAGTGGTTGCCATACTTTCACAGAAACCTGAATGCAACACTTTCCTCCAACATGAAGTCGCCAAAACTTGGTGTGTCCAATTTGAACATTCTTCTTAGAGGAGTTCTGGTTTCATTACAATCTGATGTCACTGCGTCTTCACTCGAGTCACATTCAACTCTCTGGTGTCTTTCCAACTTTTCCTACATGTGGTATGTAACAACACATTTGTGAAACTTGCCAAGCGTACAGTGACGGCAGAAAGAAACAAAAAAACAAGTGCACTTTGTAAGAAAGAAGGAGAAATCTTGCTATTACAATCTGACTACTATGTTATATTTTGTGTTCCAGTTATTTGAGGAGCATCCTGCCTCAACAAAGGGGCGCATTCTTCATTGTTGAAACAGGATTTTGGAAAAGCAGTAAACAATAAAAAGATGAGATTGGGAATGAGTGATGGGATATTTTCTCAAAGTGTTGATTTGTCATTTATATAAACACGGCACCAGCTCTAACAATCATTTAACTGCTGCTGTTGGGCCAAAGCCTTGCAGACCCAATTTGAGCATGTCCAAATGAAAACATGAAAATATTTTGCTTTCTTTACTGTCAAGGCTTTTGGGGGAAGGGCAGGGCAAGACCCTTGACGATGAAAAATATTGCTAATTGCTCATTTTATAATCTCAGGTGATTTAAAATACACCAGCATGTGCTACACAGATGTTAATAACTCTGTCATTGACAAAATATAATCTACCTTTATGTCTTTTTGTCACAAAATATCAACTTGTCTATCAATCTGAAAGGACAAAAACATCGATATATTACAACTTCCTAAATTATTTTTTCCCATTCTGTAACAGAAATACATTTTTTGTTGGGTGATGTTAATTAAGTCCATCAATTTATCACTTATTATCATTTTGTGGATTCTGAAAGGGAAAACTGGAGGGCTTAGACGGTGACTGAATCTATTTTATCTTTGACACGTTGTCGTATCTGACCTCAAATTCAGAGAAAGAGACAAAGACGGGTATGGTGACGCGCTCTCTCAGTTTGTTTGCTGCTTTGTTTCTGTCCTGAAGTGCCCATTGTTGATTCCGCTTTATGAAAAAAGCTTTTCTCTGCCGAAAGACTGACGCACAGAAAGCCAAATGTCTCGTCCCCCCCTGCAGCCGTCCATATAGGATTAAGCTGCTATGAACAGGCTAAATCCAAGAAATTTCTCCTTTTTCATAAACTACCCACTTAATTCCGCTCTCCTGACAGACGTCTTCATAAATACGTCTCCACTTATCAATGAATCAGTCTTCCCTCTGTCAGTCACAGTGAATCACCCTCCTACATAAGACTCATTTCATTTCCTAAACAGCCAATTCGTCCCGGCACGTTTCCAAATCTCCGTCATCTCACAGGACAAGTCAGATGTCCTCGGCTAAACGTCAACTATTTAAAGTCGTTTTGACAAATAGATGTAGGAATTAACATGTCATTGCAATCAAGGACAGAAAAATCCCTCTGGCACACATGAAGCTTGAAAATGATTCCAACATTTATGTCTTTCTGTCAACGTCTTTGCACCACTTAAGGTGGATATAAAATTGCAGTATTGGCAAATCCCATGTTATATCCATCTTATTTTCCCTCAAATTACCTTGAACAAGATTTTAATTCATGTTTTACGTCTAAGTTTGAATCCCTTTTTGTTGCACTTGTGCAATATTAAGTGTGAAGTTGGAGAAAACACGGAGTTTAGAAAAATCAGATTTTCTCTGTTGCTAGTACGACTTCTAACTTCCACTGCATTATCGTTGTCGATGTCTAACTTTCTGTGTATGCAGGTTAATAACATCGTGTGATAAGATTAAATGACCAACCATGAGTGCAGGTTAGAAGTTCCTTAGGGAGAGGACAGGAGAACAAAAGGACAAGCTAATAGTTATGGATCTAAATAATGCCGGTTTTAAGTGTGAGTGCAAGACAATTTAAGAATTTAGTTTTTCCAGCAATTCCAGGAGAATTTGAGAGGGGTATAGGGGTTTTTCCCAGAGTTTTGTGACTTTGACTGTATGTACTTAGACTATTTACTATGATGGAGAACATCACTAATTTAATCTACAGAGCACAAGCTACCTGTGATAGCTCTGCTCTGTCAACTTTTAGATGTTATTTATCGGTAAACTTTGAAATGACACATGAAGGTGGATGCAACTCAATGGAGGCGGAAGTCCTTTTTGATATTTTACATACAGGTGATAACAGCTCTGTTGTGCAATAGTGGTTAAATTGAATTAACCCATGATGCAATCTGAATAATGCTTCTCTTTAAAAAAGACCGATACCCACCTAGAAAAAACCTTACAAACAACAGCTGACTTAAATTCCTACTTCCTGTTGAAGAAAGAATTTTTTAAAGACTAATGCTGACCTGCTATATTTGTTCCTAATAAAACATTTAAACATCTATGGCAAGTCACTTGAATAACAAATGCTGAACAACCAACATTTATCGACGTGAACTAACTCGTTTCCATCATCTGTGTTCAAAACTTCCCAAGTTTTCAGAACATTTCATAAAACGGTGTCGATAGGTGGAATCTTACATTCAATTTAGTTCTTCCAGCGTTTGGGCAACAAATCGTTTGATCCGTCTACGTCATTAAATCATACTGTCTCCATGACAACAACAGCTTTGCCACAGTCCTCAGATGTTGATGTGGTGGTGGAGGTTGAGTTACAAAGTAAACCTTCTTCTGTGGTTATTTGACTTCTGGCAGGGCAGTCCACACTGTCATGGAGATCAGTGTTTCCACCTCCTTTTTTATCTCTCTCAACTCCACCTCTGCTGTCATCCTCCATCCCTTCCCCCTTCTCCTCTTCTTCCTCTTCCTCATCCTCCATCCGACACCGGCACACCTCAATCCCAGAGTCACCTGTAAGTCGCCGATGTCTATACTGGCTCTCATCTGCTCCAATATCCTCATCTTCATCATCATTGTCCTTCTGATCCTGGTCCTCCTCCCATCTTCCCAGCTGGGTTCTGGTTCAAAGATGTCCACACAGGGGGAAAACAGAGTCTGTTTGGGAGGGGACTGAGTAGCACGTGGCGAGGGGGAGAGGGATGAGGCATGGCCAGAGGAAGATCCACCTTTGTTTGACTGGTGCAGAGCAGTGAGGGGGTCCAGGAGTAAGGCTGGGGCTGGGGGGGAGGTAGGACACAAAGCAGAGGGGAGGCAAGGAGGCGAGGGGAGTGATGGGGGTGAGGGTGAAGATGGGTAAAGGACTGTTGGGGGAGACTGACAGGGAGCAAAAGAAACATCAGCTTCTATGGTTATGGCTGGGCAGGAGGAAGAAGAGGCTGCTTGTGTTGTAAAGCTGAGAACTGGAGAATGAGTGGAGAGTGGGCTTGATATTGAACCAACATCAGACCCACATGATCCAGTTCCAGTCCTTAAACCAGTCTGGACGCTTAATGGTGAGTGACAGATGAGGTCTGACCCTGACGAAAGAGGCAGGACTAGAGAAGGGCCTGAATTGGCTGGCACTGTGGTTTGATCTTGACAAGACACAAGAACAGCAACAGGTCCTGGGTGCTGGGGCAAGTTTGACCTTAATCTTGTGATACCCAAAACTTGATCTGACCCATGGGACGGTTCTGAAATCTGGTTATGGGTTAATGAAAGAGAAGTTGGAGCTGCATCTGTGGCTAGGATAGGGTTTGGCTGTGCATGATTTGGAGCTAGAATGGGGTTAGGTTCACAGTCTAGGACTTTTGGGATTTTAAGTTGGATATTTGGCACTAGGGAAGGTTTTGAAGGTACTTTGTCTGACGCTTGGGTAACAGCTGTTAGTACTTGGTTTGAAGGGGGGGCATGTATTGTTGGTACTAGATTTGTATCCTGGGTGAAGTTTGTAGGTATTGCATCTGTTGCTTGCCTAAGGTTTGTAGTTACTGGGACCGACTTTTGGGTAAGGTTTGTGATTATTGGGACTGGTACTTCTGAAAGGTTTGAAGTTAATGGGTCTGGATCTGTAATCAAATGTGAAGGTACTGAATCAGGGGCTTGGGTAAGGATTGCAGACATTGGGCCTGAAGCTTGGATGTGGTGTCTGGGAACTGGGCTTGAAGGTTGGGTATGGTTGGAAGGTTCAGGAGCTTTAGCTTGTGTAAAGTTTGGAGATGCTGGGATTGGCACAAAGCTAGGATTTGGGTCTTCAATTGAGAGACCAGGAGAAACTGCCATGGCGGCTAACATTCTTTCAAAATCTGGGGATGGTACTGATGTTGGGCTACTTGGAATATTGGCTGTATCAAAAGTTCTTGTCAGATCAAGGGTTTTGAGGGTTTGGGTGACTGAAGAGATGTCAGAATTGCAAGCTGTTGGGGTTGAGCAATCTGTCATTGAGGTGGTTATAGGTGAATGACTTGTTTGAAGGCAGTTAGTCAGGTTCACAATGCTTATTGTTTGGTTGGAGGTGAGAGTTGTGTCAACGCTTGGACTAGGGAGTGTACTTGAGCTACATTTGCTTACTGTTGGGGGACAGGGTGCTAGGTCTAGCTTTAGAGGAGATGAAGTTTCAACTGGAAGAGCCACCTCTGCTCCAGGAGAGGGCAGAGGATGAGGGGGGACTGCTTTGTTAACAAGCGCCACGGTAACAGTCTGGTTGGGAACTGATGAGTCCGTGGCGATAGATTCCTGTGCCCCAGAAGAAACTTCATCGCCCATGTCAATGTCCACAGTGGTAGCAGTCCTCTCAGACTCAAATCGTGTCCGATTTACCTCCAAACGGTTTGCCGCCGCAGCAATAGTCTCCATGGTGACATCAAGAGTGAGGGGTGCCGCCTCGCTAGGGGTTGTGGCGTGGCTGGTGTCAGTCTCATATGTGACAGGTGCAGAAAGGGAGGAGCTACAAGGTGAGGAGGGGCAGCAGGAGTCACAAGAACAACTGGAGCTGTAAGAAAGAAAAAGTCGTTTTAATTTAAAGAGTCCATATTCTGCCCTTTTTGGGGTTCGTATATTTAATCTATGTTCCTACTTTTGTACGTTCACAATAGATAAAGTCTGAAAAAAGTGTCTGTTTTCATGAACTGCTCCTCCTTGCTCCCTCTCCGCTCTGAGTCCGTCAGCTACACTCTGTTGAGCCCACACTGTTAGACCCCACGTGGGCCAAGTCTGCTCTGATTGGTCTGCTGATCCGCTCTGTCGTTATTGGTCAGTCGCTCAGCACGGTTCTCGGGAAATGTCCCGCCTCTTTTACCATATTGGGAATGCAGCCACTGGCTCCGTCCGAGGGGAGCATAAACATTAGCACCTGAGCACTACTGTGCTACTGCAGGCTACGGCATATCGTGGGCGTGCTACAGAAGTTAACGGGCGTGCAACATGAGCTGCTGGGCCACAACGAGCCAATGGGCTCAGATCAGTGATCTCACACTGACAATGACGTAGGACTGACAAATTTTTATCGAGGCAGGGCTAGAACCGAGCGTTACATGCAGCTAATGCTACAGCTAACAGGAGGACGTAGGAGAAGCAGCATTTCTGCGGACTTTGAATTTTTGCACATAGATGTGACTAAACATGCACAGGACACTTAGAAAACACACTAAAGAGCATAAAAACCAGAAGAAGAAGAATATGGGACCTTTAAGAACATGAGCAAATGATTGCACAGCTTTTGTAATGAATATCATCCTAATACCAAAACAACACTCGGCACTTATTTTAAAGAAGCCTGCTGTCATAAATTTAAGGATTTGATTTTTTAATATATTGAGTATTACTGATAGTCCAACAGAAGCAAACACTCTTCTAATACGCATTTCCAACATTTATATAAATAGCATTATAAAACAGGGTTTCCACCAGCAGGACCCAAATGTTCGTCCCAGGAGCTTCTTTTAAAAACGGAATGTTGTCTGTGTTCCTCTGAGGTCCAAAGACCCAAAAGATTAGGTAACTGTGTCTGCTGTCATGAAAAAAGCCTGTTTCACAAATGTTTGTAGAGGTTTCACCCATCATGTCTTTTTTTTTTAATCAGTAAGAGTGTAGGCACCAAGAAGCTGCAGGTCCAGTTCAAACATCCAGCCGATCGGTCAAGAACTTTGGTGCCTGCTCTACCAAGCCAGCAAACTGGTCCCCACTGACACTTTCTCTTATCGCGACCTAATTGCTCTTCTGGTTTTAAACACTCAGCTGTGTGGTGTGTTATAGGGGATTAAAATACATGTTTAAGCTTGGTATGGCAACACATCCAGACAAGCCAACTTGCTCGATTTGTCTCCTGCTGCCCTGTCAGAAATGTTCAGTTCTTTAAAGCCCAAACTAAAAGATCAAGTGTCTATCAATATCAACTAATCTATCAAAAAAAGAACAACCCAGGGCCCTTTTAGACCCTAGTCCAAAAAAAGCCCTGGGTCGAGTTCCTTTCGTAAAAATGAAGCTTTTGCAGAAGAAGCAGTAGTAGTGGTAGTTTTAGTAACAGAAACCATGAAAAAGCATTAATCCAAGAAGGGTGCTACCTCTGGTGTTCCTACTGTGCAGTAGTATTATGACCAACGCTCCCAAAATGGCAGGGAATATTATTACCTGTTGTCGGAGCTGAAAGAAGATGGACCATCGCTGAGCGTCTGGTGTAGCAGCGGACCGTGCTGCGTGAGCAGGTGGGGGTCGGAGGTGCGGGGTGGCTGTGGGTAACGTGGGGTGGTAAACACTGAGCTGTAGGGTGGAGGAGGGGTGGAGGGTTGTGCAGCCACCTCCTCATAGGAAGGCAGCTTCAGAGACGCCAGAAAACCTAAAATCAGCCCAGTGTAGTGAGGTTAGCAAGGGAATTGCTACATGCTAGTTTTAAACTCTGCAATAACTGATATTTTTGAGCTGCTTAACGCTTCCTAAGAATAACCCTCTCTCTCTTAAGGGACCTGGAAAGGAAACATCCTCCCTACGTCAGACCATATATTTTATTTTAAAATCAGTGAACTAATATTTGTACCTCCGATATCTAGCTTCCCCTTTCATCCTCTGCACACTCTGAAAATTCACTTTTATTGTGAACTGACTCTCAGTTCTCCTACAGACAGGCAGGCAGGTGTCTTACTCAGGTCCAGCATGGAGGAGGGATAGGAGTTGGCTCCGTGGTAGGCCAGCAGGCTGATCTCTCGTTGTCTCTGCTGCTGCTGAACCCTCAGTTTGGCTCGTCGGTGTCGGTATGCACAGCAACAGCTGAACAGGATGAGGACCGTCCACAGCAGCCAGAACCCTGAACACAACATTATCATCTTATTAACCCTGAACACAACATTATCATCTTATTAACCCTGAACACAACATTATCATCTTATTAACCCTGAACATAACATTATCATCTTATTAACCCTGAACACAACATTATCATCTTATTAACCCTGAACACAACATTATCATCTTATTAACCCTGAACACAACATTATCATCTTATTAACCCTGAACACAACATTATCATCTTATTAACCCTGAACACAACATTATCATCTTATAACCCTGAACACAATTATCATCTTATTAACCCTGAACACAACATTATCATCTTATTAACCCTGAACACAACATTATCATCTTATAACCCTGAACACAACATTATCATCTTATTAACCCTGAACACAACATTATCATCTTATTAACCCTGAACACAACATTATCATCTTATTAACCCTGAACACAACATTATCATCTTATTAACCCTGAACACAACATTATCATCTTATTAACCCTGAACACAACATTATCATCTTATTAACCCTGAACACAACATTATCATCTTATTAACCCTGAACACAACATTATCATCTTATTAACCCTGAACATAACATTATCATCTTATTAACCCTGAACATAACATTATCATCATATTAACCCTGAACACAACATTATCATCTTATTAACCCTGAACACAACATTATCATCTTATTAACCCTGAACACAACATTATCATCTTATTAACCCTGAACACAACATTATCATCTTATTAACCCTGAACACAACATTATCATCTTATTAACCCTGAACACAACATTATCATCTTATTAACCCTGAACACAACATTATCATCTTATTAACCCTGAACATAACATTATCATCTTATTAACCCTGAACACAACATTATCATCTTTATTAACCCTGAACACAACATTAATCATCTTATTAACCCTGAACACAACATTATCATCTTATTAACCCTGAACACACATTATCATCTTATTAACCCTGAACACACATTATCATCTATTAACCCTGAACATAACATTATCATCTTATTAACCCTGAACACAACATTATCATCTTATTAACCCTGAACACAACATTATCATCTTATTAACCCTGAACATAACCACAACATTATCATCTTATTAACCCTGAACACAACATTATCATCTTATTAACCCTGAACACAACATTATCATCCAAACATTTATTCAGAATCAAATTCCAAATAGAAGAAGTTTACCTTAGTCTAAATAGGTGGAAATCATTCAACCAACATTGTGATGGGTAACACTGTCGAGCAGTTTCATCACCTATTAAATAATATAAAATACTAAACAACGGCCTACAGAAACAGGAAGTCAAAGTATTATAATTAGTATTCGTAAAGCAGACTTACACCAGAGTTCGTAGTAGTAGGTGCAGCAGCCGGTCTCTCCACAGCAGTGTCCCGTCTCACTACGGTACCCTCCATTAGCGTTGGCCCTGGGCAGTACCGCGGTCTCCCCAGCAGGGGCAGGCTGCCACCGGAGTGGTACTCCATCGCGCCCGCTGCAATGCCCGCAGCTAGCCCTGCGCCACCGCTACTGTTACTTCTAGCCACTAGCAGCTAACAAGCTGTTAGCTGCTAAACACTTAACCCTTGGAGGGAACCAACTACATTTTTATAGGTTTTTATGTTTTAGTTGAATTTCTGTGTTTGGTTTGGATTGAATCAAAACGTGCTAGCTTGTTAGCTTCTCACCAGAAATAGCCTCAAACAAATCTACATTTTCAGACCAGGTGAAATGTTTTGTTTTGTTTGTTGGATTTCACAGTAAAACAACGGCTAGCCTGGCAGTTTCAATATGGTCGACCCCCCAGATGCCCCCCAACAGTCATACTAAGAGGTTCAGGAGCTAAGGCTACGGTGTTAGGTCAGTTAGCACCAAAGAGAACTGTTAGCCTCCTTACTGTGATTTCAAACAGCTAACACCTCACTACTGAAGATTCATACTATGAATACTGGAGAGGCTGAAAGAACAGTGGAGGAGCGAGACGGGATGAAGGCCAATAAAAGATCCTGGAGAGAGAGAGGGGGGGGGGGTGGGGGGGAGAGAGAGAGAGAGAGAGAGAGACAGAGAGAGAGAGGGGGGGAGAGAGAGAGAGAGAGACAGAGAGAGAGAGAGGGAGCGAGCGAAAGAGAGAGAGAGAGAGAGAGGGGGGGAGAGAGAGAGAGAGAGAGAGAGAGAGAGAGAGAGAGAGAGAGGGGGGAGAGAGAGAGAGAGAGAGAGAGAGAGAGGGGGAGAGAGAGAGAGAGAGAGAGAGAGAGAAGAGACAGAGAGAGAGAGAGAGAGAGAGACAGAGAGAGAGA